GGGCGATACAATGATAAGATGGCGAAGGTGATTTTGAAGTATTTGTTGGAGAATCCGAGGACATGGGATACGATGTTGCCGTATTTGAGCTTTGTGTGCAACACGACAATTCATCGGGTGACGGGAGCTACGCCGTTTAGTTTGGTTCACGGTCAAGAATTCCAGTATCCCATTGACCTCTTCTACGCGAAACCTCACGATGAAGTGTTGACGAAGGATGCTTTTGTAGAGGAACTGGATGAGCTTTTCCGAGATGCTCATAGCAGTGCGAGGGAAATCGTTGGGACGGATCAACGTCGACAGGAGGATCAGTATTGGAAGAAAGTTCATGGAGAACCCTATACAACTGGCGATAAAGTATGGGTGTGGGCGAAAGAAAAGTTCAAGTCGAAGAAGCACTTCGATCCGTGGGACGGAACTTATGTTGTACTGGCGAGAATGTCCGAGGTGAACTACAAGGTGGCAAAGGAGTCGACTACGAACAAAGTGAAGTTCCTGCACTTCAACAAGCTGAAGCGAGTCAAAGAAGAGACAGCCCAGTCAGAGGAGGCTACAGCAAGTAAGCGACCGACACCTTACCGGTCGGTTAACTTCTTCGACGATCCGGAGATGTATGACGATGATGAGTTGTTATGGCAAAACAACCGGGAGGGTTTTAATCATGACTCAGGCCCAAGAGATGTACCAGTGAGACTGTTGCCTGTGAGAAATCGACCGACGGAACCACAAGTTAATCCAGCTGGGCGAAATGTACGAAACAGGGTGATGCCCGAACACTTTGCTTATCCACCACAGCGAATGATGCGAGAAGTGGCTAGGAGGGAAGAAGATGCGATTGAGACGTACGATGCGACGGAGCTGGAGGCCAGAAGGGAAGAGGAGCCTGCAAATCTACCGAGTGAGGCGGAAGGCAGACCTCCGGGTGAGCCGATGGCTGCTGAACCAGTGATGGAAATTGGCACTGCAGATGACGGCGGTCGACAAACTCGAGTAAGGAGACCACTTGTGAGGTTTGGAATCGACGAGTTTGTGAGTTGAAACTTACCTTAGTTTACTAAACTCTTTCCTTATCTCATTAGTTTTTGCTTGTTTATATTCAGTGCGATCCCACCTGAACTGTTGCGCGGACCATTGATAGTGATGATTATGAAAGTGAAAGGGTTGGATCGTACCATGAAGAGTAAAATTATTACAGTTATGTCCCCCCTTAGGTTACTCATTGTGCTATATTATTGTTTAGTTGATGGGGACTAACTGATGGGTCCGCGATCTTTAAGTGTGTTGCTTTATAAGACGGAAAGAGAAGTAAGACACGCGTAGGGCGTAGCGGAACGAAGCGTTATGGTAGGTTACACTTAGGCTTATTAGGTGCTACTTAACATTATTCGGGAGAATAATAGACTAGAAGGGAAGACTGTAGAATTGGTGATTCTAAGGTATAACGTACATAGCTTTTCCTTTGTACCTTGAACATGCAAACTAAGTAGTAGTAGAGCTTAATCGTTGATTTAGTCTGGAGCAATTGGTAAATAATAAAGTAGTTAAGTTAAGATCGAATTAAACTTGTGTTTACTTAAGTCCATGGAATTAATCCCCCTCCTTAGTGAAAATAGTCAATGCAACAGCTCACGGAAACTCCCCCCAACTCGGGAACTACCGGGGCGAACTTCATGAAATTTAGTGGAGTGATACTAGAGATGATTTGACCCGGGCATGCAAAGAGCCGGATCCGCCCGACCCCCCGGGGCCGAGTGATAACGGTTCCCGGAAGTGCAAATGGCCCCACCGGAAATCCTTAACTACTGGTCCGATTGAGCTCATTTTTATATATGTGGTAGCCCTGGGTGAGGGAAACTTAAGTTTGAAGTTTCGGAACCCCAAGGTCACCCCGGCCCGATTTACGCCCTAAACAACCAAACCCCCACCCAACTTCTGGAGGCTATTTCTGGACCCACAATGACCCTAGGGAGCTGAAACTTACAGGGATGATAGATAGTGACATGGTCTATCATATGTTAGGATGATGACCCGATTGGGTGCCAAGGGCACGGGCTATTAGCACTTGGGAAAATCACCCCTTGGAGGTGTTAATAGGCAATTTGCGAAAAATAATGAGCGAGGGCATATCGATTTTAAGGTACTTATGTGTAGTATGACTTACCCCGGTAAAAAGGATCCCTGTAAGTCTTAGTTCCCAGTTGACCTTTCCGGTGCTAATTGACCTTTTCCGGGAAAAGTGATAACGGACTTTAAAACGGGATAACTTGGGAAGCATTGGTCAGATATGGATGAAACTTGGTAGGTAGGACTCCCATGTGACCTCGAACCGATTATGGGGAATTTGACCCCGGGTGACCCCGGGTTGACCTTTATTTGACCTTTTGGATTTTCAGCTCCAAAACCCTTAAATTTAGCACCGGAAAATAGCCCAAATTGTATGATTTGTAATCAGCAAGGTTAATGAAGCTATGTTATTGATCTTGGGTGGTGATTGGCATGTATGGGAATTTAGTTAGGCATTTCCCTGAATTCGATGGAATATCTTGGCTTAATGTATAGTGGTATGTTGTTGGAATTATTAAGAGTTAGCTAAACAAACATTGGGTTCAATCTGACTTGGTGAATAAACTATTATTAGAAATGCGTCAATGGCACAGAAAAGTAGTCACATATTATATTGGCAATTTAGACAAGGGAATAGAGAATTAACTAACTTAAATGTTAGGATTGTACAGGATATTCCATTGGCTTCTGGGGAATGTTTTATTGGCTCAATTGGACCCCGGTTAAAGGAACGGCTTACCCTGAAGGTCGTTTTGATTGAAATTTGAATAGGTTACGTATGTGAATTTTTGGATTATGATAAACGGGAAATTAAGTTCACTGGGAATTTATCCTAGGCATGGAAAAAGGAAAAAGATAAGGAATAATTAAATAAAGTCCTTGGGCACTTTGTTATGTAAATATAGCTTGAATTAAGTTGAAGTTGCACTTGTTATTTGTTTAGCATAGCTTTGATTGGCATTTTGAACTTGGCATTTAAAGTAATGTGGTAATGTTGGATTTATGAACTGGAACGCTGCGTAGGAGGCACAAAGGTAAATGTTAAGACTTATACGGAATGACGGATCTCTAACTAAAACTAAGAGTAAATAGACATAAGGCACGGACGTTTCGGTACAACCTTTAAGCGTGAGAACGATTTGGAGTTTATTGTTAACGAGTCGTATCTCGGAGTCATTGAGAACGGGTTAAGTTACTCGTTAAAGTGATTGTAGATTAGTTAGTGAATGTAAGTTAGGCTATCTAGAGGATAGCGGGATTGTTGTTGAATGATTGTAATTGATAGAAGTTCTCGAGGAGAACGTTAGATATTAGTTAGGTGTTAATTGAACTGCAGGAGGCAGTTAATTGAATAATAGTAATCGCGGACCCATTCCTTTGAATGAATGATTAATTTATATTCCAGCCAATTGTAGGCTATTCTGTAGTTGGATTTGATTATTAGTTAATTCATTATTGTTATCGGAATTGTTGTTGCGATTGACTATTGATTGCGAGCGAGATACAGTCGAGAGAGCACAAACCTAGGGGCAAGCAGCGTAGTACGATTCAGAAAGGCCAACCACCAAATCAACCCTTTTGGGATTGTAAACAGTACTGGGAATCGGTTGCCCCGCTGACCTCAGTATTAAAGGGAACATATTGCGGCGGTGTGAAATAGCGAGAGAGACCGGCCCAGAGATATTGTGAATTCCCCCACGTTTACAATAACAAACATATTTGGTCTCCATAATTAACCTTGTAAAACCACTCGTTAGACCAAAAAATTCATGTTTGAGTGAGGTGGGGGAAAAGGAAAAAAAGCCGAGCTCGAAAAATCAATTCGGGTCGACCTAAAAAAAAGGTCGACAAAATTTTCGAAAATTTTTGAAAATCCGCCCCCCCCCTCGAGAAAATCCTAGATCCACCCCTGCCAAAAAAGATTGGATTTTGTTTAGTTGTATGATGATGACTATCTATGTTGAAATGCTGGCTCTTTTCCAGTTTCCCCCCTTCAAATTCAATTTTGAAAAGTCTATTTAACGTTGTCATAATGCAATGAAATTTGGCGTGAACAAATCGACAATTCTGAACAAATTTGTTCTTCATACTTTACAGCGTAACATCACGCATTTAGCCGTAATAACTCGTAAAACAAACAAAAAACTCGGTATTATGAAAGGGGGGGACTGGAAAAGAGCCGAAATGCTAACCGTCCTGTTCTTCTGTGCAAACTTTACAAGGTAAGAGGAATTTTTAGTAATTTATGGTGATTTATGGGACACAGTTGTCGATTTGTTCACCACGCCGAATTTCATTGCATTATGACAACGGTATCTAAGCTTTTCAAATTTGAATTTTAAAGGGGGGGACTGGAAAAAAGCCAAAAAGTTTCCCGTCACAGCCAACAAAAGTTTAGCAGATTGTTTTCTGACCGTTTTGCATCAAATCAATCCTCGCATATAAAAAAATGAGTCCACCTGAGTTTAAGAACTGTTGTTCAGATGTGCTTATTGTCATGAAAGGTACCATACAAGTTAAATTCGCAATTAAAACGCATTTGTTACTATAAAATTTAATTAAAGTCTTGTTAAGGAAAACAGTAGATGATCCAAAGAAAAAGGTATCATGGCCAATCTTGCTCGTGTGAGAGAAGGAAACAACGATTTCACGCAGCAGCCCATTGGTTGCCAAACTTTCATTTGCCAGCTTTCATTTTTTCTAGCTTCAAGCACGTTTCGAATTTAGATAAACGTCTAACACGTTAAAAAGATTCGAGCACTCATGTAGCCGGCATTTTTCCACCAGGTTGTTTTTTGGGGATGGTAGTTTTACCAAAATTCATCACAAATAACATACGTTCATTTTTCAATAATATAATAGTGATCGATCTGTGTTTTTCATTTCGAGTGAGCTTTGTTTTCTTATACACAATCATTTGAAGATTTTAGCACGTGGTTCGATGGTATTCAAAGACATGCGTTAGTTTTTTGTACCAATTTTTTACGCAATAGAATAATATCTTTATTTACAGATTGGAGCTGCAGTTACGCTTTCATTCTCTTGTGTTTATCGTGTTACCAATATTTTAGATTCAACAGAAAGCGGTGGATTGTTATAGACAACCTAATATTCAACCCTTATTAAAATGGTAAGTCGCAATTGTAAGACAAATTAAATTTTTTCCATTTTTTTTCTATGTGAAAATGAGTTGTTGTTGGGTGTGGTTGGTGAGTGCGAATTATTTACAATCTTATTTTTTGGTTTTGGAGGAAATTCAAATAAGCAGCTAAAATTTTTGACGCGGTTATGAATTAAAAACAACTAGAATTAAATTGCTAATGGTGGGTACCATTTTTTTTGCGCCAGCAGAAACCGTTCCCAAAAGTAGTGCCGGTCATAGCTCCCTGTTAAGCATCAACAATATCAGTCAACAAGATCTTCATCAAAGTTAGACGAAATAATCTGAGCTTTGTACGATATATTTAGTGCTGGGGTTCTTGGAAAAATTTTGCATTTATTTTACAAAATTGGAAATACAATTTACCAATCAGTTTAAACGGTGTCAGGTTTCCCAGTAGAACCAAACGAACGCTTTTGTTATGTAAAATTATCTGTCGCATATTGACATAAAGCTGATGTTTTGTCAACTTGAGATTTGGAAAGAAGACGGATGGCTGTTTCCAATTTTGACCCAAAGTTTGGATGACAATCTTTTAAGATCAGTTTGACGTTTCGTAATCCAGTTATATTTTGCCTGTTCAACAGAATAACCCCTCTGAAGGCTTTTGTTCTCGTTGGCGGACTAAATCGCCCAGGATAAAAATCCCCGGAATAAAAACCCACCTGATAAAATCCCTCAGCACTAATTTTCTTATAGGACCAAATCAACCTACGACAAAATGAACCAGTTATTGTTTGAAATCCCCTTTTTAAAATGAAACATTGAGGCAACTTGGAGAGTTAAACTGAGTGATGAAAAAAAACAATAAATAGATAAAAGACTTAAAATTGAAAGGTCGAGTTTACAGGCTTTGAGGAAATCCAACTCTTTGAAGTTAGCGGCAGAGCATGCGATGATCTTGATTCTCCCAAGTTATCCTCTTTTCTTGAGTATTTTTTTCCCAAGCTGCATTTGAAAGAAGCTAAATGAGGCTAAGCTAAGCGAGTTAGAATCTGAAAATTTAGAGTAGTGAAAAATTCACATCAAAATGGTGATGTTTGTCTGCATTTGCGAAGCGAGAGTAATTGTACGAACCTTCTTTTTTTCCAACCTAAGCCGCAAATATTGGTGCCAATTTTGGGGCAATTTTACATTTTTTCATAGCATGGGCTTTGAAATTCGAATAGCTATAAGTTAACACAGTAGATGCATTTTTATTTTATCAAAAGAACCGAAGGAAGTGATTCGATGTAAACAACATAACAATCATGAAAACTCGAGATCAAAATTTTTTTGAAATGCATTATTTGTACATAATGTAGCTTTGTGCTTTGCAATTTTTTCATGCAAAGTTAGTGCGGAAGCCTTCAGTTTGTTTTAACCCAAGTTATTACTTGCAAAATTGAGTTTATTTGTATTTGGTGCCATTTTGCTGAATGACATGGGCAATTTTTTTTTAAAATGTTGCTGCCTTATACGTGACTAGTATTAGGCGGTTGTTAAGCTTGCGTGGCTGAGTATAGATGATGCGTGAAACTCAAAATCTCTTGGTTGCAGTAGGTCGCAGATTGAATCCTAGACGTGGCCCAGTTTTTGCGAAATCAAGGCTTATTTCTATTTTTTTATTGCACTTTATAGAGCTGCTTTTTGGTCGTGTTCTCGCAAGTGTTTGCGAAGCACAGCTTTGCCTCTGTTAAATGGTGGGATCAACTCAAAAAGGATTCAATAGAGTCAATCATCAATTCGTAATGGATACGAGAGTGCTCGTATATCGGGGCTAAGCCCTGAATGTTGCGACTGGACTTAAGGCCAATTAAAAAGCTTTATTTTTTGTTGAATTGTTAATGCTACATAGCATTAAAGTTGAAAGCATAGTATAAAGCCAGTATAGTTGCTTAGCAATACCAGCTATATAGCTCAGCGTATACATAGTGCGTTCCGGGGAGTTCGGCGTGGGTTCGATTCTCACCTAAGTCGTTTCATTTGAGAATCCTATTTGAGCCGAACCTGACAGAACATAAAATGCTAATATTTTAATCGGTTCAAAATTGGTTTGCAAATGAGTTTCTGTTAACCTCGTGAATTGAATTTGATTTTATAGCAAAAATCATAAATCAGCGCATGATCAACCCCACTATTTTGTCTTGATACGTTTAATTTAGTCACAATATTTCGACCATATTTCGTGAATTTAAAACCGATTTTGTTTTGTTTTTACTGTTTAAATTGAGCAGAACATTTTGGTGCCGCGGCTCGGGAAGATATTTTTACGAGTGAAGTGGGAAAATGAAAAAGAGCTGAAGAGTCTTCATTTAATCACCGTGCGGGCAGGTGCTCGCTCAGTGGCAGTGGAGTCAATTGAAGCTTGGGCAAAGAACCCCCCCCCCTGTGGGGTTTTGATCCACCAGCAATTTAAAAATAGCTTGTCATCAGAGAGGAGTCTAGAGGCAGCCTCACAGCTGGACTATACGAAAGGGTTTGGGGTAAAGGCAACAGGTTGTCAACTATTGGCCGATTGCGCACACTGCAGAAACAAAACACGATGCTAGTGGCACCCACTGAAGTCGAAGAGATTTATTCCCAGAAGGCCGATAACCCAAAGGCCAATACCTTCAGCCGATATCATTTTCTCAACACCTGTTTTTTTGTGGATTTTGGTCTACAATCCGATGAACTTTTTGTCCCTGCAAAAAACTTGTAAGACCGAACCTTTTTATGTCCATTTCTCAACCCAATTATGCTATAACCTGACCTATGAGTGCTATGATTCGTAGTTTTTTTTCATTATTAGGATATGCTAGTTTTCAAAATTTGCTGTAAAATTACATACAATGTTGTTAATTGCAAACCGATTAAGACCGTACTAGATACCTAATCCTAGTTCATACCCAGTACCCTATTACCCCGGGATAGTCTTGAACCCAAAAAATTGTGTGAAAAAAAATCCAGAAAAATTTTCAAAAAATTTTCGCAAAAAAAAAATTTCAAAAAAAAAAAATTTTTTTTTGCCCGAATTTAGAGCAAAATCGGAAAACACCGTTTTCGTCTCGCCCGTTCAAACGTTTAAACCGTCAATCGTGTCGAGCAAGTTTTTTGAGTGAATCCCTACCTCGGTTTACTCCAGTCGTTGGATAAACTTTAAAAATTTGCTCGGCTTGCCCCGTCTTCGGCCGCATACCGCCGCGACAGTTACTACTACCGTTTCGCCGTAACGTCGTTGAAATTAACCGATAAACCGTACGCGTTAACTTAAATAGTACTGAATCGAAGCCTTAGCAAAACCTTACAAAACCCTCAGCTAAGGGTTCTTAAAGTTATTATCGTGATAATTTTTTTTCTTTTCATTGGTATGTGACGACTTTACTTCAACAGACTCCTTGAATTGATTGCCATTAAAACAACCGTATCGCTTATCACTCTCAATGGTGTTCAACATTGCTGCGAGTTCTCTCCATCACTCCGTAAATACATTACCATTAACTCTACAATAACGCCTCGACGACACTTTTGAAGCAGTTCCAGGTTTAATCTTTAACTTGAATGCAAATAACCGGCAAAAGACTGTTCAATATCTTTAAAGCAATTCCCCAAAATGTATGATAGAGAAAAACCTTATAATTTGGCACGATTTTATAAATAATTCATTGAGCAAGCATAGATCAAACAACGATAACCCACTTACACCAGAAAGATGATTGAAATTTTAAAAGAATATAAAAACAAAATATCAGCCATTACTTACGTACACCGTCAAAATACCCCCATTATTTATGGACGTTTGGTTGAAACAGGAATATTGACCATTAATGTGACCAAACATTTAATCTCAAAAAGAAAAGCTAGCAACAAAGAACTAATTCGTAAGCTTAAATTAATTGATCCTCCGGCATTTTTAGAAATAAAAAATTTGAGAATCATTCGACGTTATTTCCCCAATTTGTCCGAACTTATCAATAAAGTTAAAAATCGTCGACCAAGTTAAAGAAAAAGAAAAGCAGATAAGCATAAGATTTGACAAATGACAACAGTCGAAGAATATTTAACATTTGTTAGTCATTATAAATCATGATTTGTTTTTTTTTTCATTAGTTAAATTCTTCTTTACTTTCAATCTTGTAGTTTGTTGTCCTTCTGTTCCGTAGGCAACGACAATCGTAGGGTTCTTGCGAGGATCCTCTCGTTCGGTATAGGACGCGGCTACTGGAATTGATTTTAGTTTGATTCCGTCAATCGACACTTATTTGTTTTTTTTTGCTCTTATTTAAAATCAAATATTTTAAAATGGAGCTTGACTTCGGCCAGAAGCTAAACAAAATTTATCTTGCCAGTAAAGAGTTGGAAACAAATTTTTTCGATTAGCATGCCAAAATTACGGAATATATAAGTGCGAATGATAGACCAGCTAAAATTGAAACGAACATCTAGCAATTGCATACAAAAATTTATAGAGAAAATTGATGAGCTTAAATCTTTGTCTATGCACAGCAACAACGCTGCTGAAACCTTAAATCAACTCCAGTTTTACCTAGGATCTATCACTGCAAAAAATGACGATGTTTTAGGTCCAGCTAAAAATTACTTTCAAATTAAACATCAAGAGGACCAGGTAGCAACTGCACGAATCCCAACACCAAGCAAATCCGTCCGTTCCAAGAAACCCCTTCCACAGCGTTCTAAGGATGCATCAATGACTTCGAGTGAGCGTCGAAAAGAGGCAGCCCTTGCAAAAGTTGGACGCGAGGAAGTTGAACGCCAAGCAGAGGCTAAGCTTCGTTTGAAAAAGCAAGAGATCCAGATTCAGTCGATGAAGGGTCAACTTGATCTTGATAAGGTTGTAGAGGAAAGCCGTCAAAAGCTAGCCGAAGCAACTATCGAAGAGGCTGAAAATCTGGAAGTCGCCTCTGAAATTTGTGAACTTCGTCGTAGCAGATCGAAATTGGCAATGGCCGTTCAGGAGAACCAAACGGAGGAAGACAGGATAAGAAGTT